GTAATTATAGACGATACAAATATATATAAATATTTTTGTCTGCTTAATATTATCATATTTCTCAAAATAAATCCCTTTTAATTGACCGTATTTAAAAATCTCTAATCTCATCTCATCTGCTCTATTTATTTCAGGTTACCGTGGCAACATTTCGTGCAAAACAGTTTTGCAGCTGGACAAATTCGCGCCGTATGAGGCRAGYGAAAAGGATTTGATTGAGCGTCGCTTTCAGGACATCACGAATGACTATGACAAGTCGCCGCCGCCCACAGCATCCACGACGCCCACGCACTATCCCACGCTGAACAGCATCATCTTCGAGAACGGCAGCAGCAGCCTGGGCGATCTCAATGGGAACACCAAGTCGGATGGCCTCTGCGGCGGCCTGCAGCGCGGATCCGCAGGCTTGGGCGGCGGCGGTGGCGGTGGTGGTGGCGGCCTAGGTGGTGCATCGAGTGGCGGACATCTCATCTCGAATCTGACTGCGGCGCATAATATGTCCGCCGTTGGCAGCTTTCCCATTGATGCCAAGATGCTGCAGTTCTCCACAGATCAGGTGAGTGGGAGATGGATGATAGCCAAAGGAACGTCAGTTGAATATCMSTTTACYCCGTTACAGATTCAGTGCATGTGTGAGGCACTGCAGCAGAAGGGCGACATCGAGAAGCTGACAAACTTCCTTTGCAGCCTGCCACCCAGCGAGTTCTTCAAGACGAACGAGAGCGTGCTGCGGGCACGCGCCATGGTGGCCTACAATCTGGGCCAGTTCCACGAGCTGTACAGCCTGCTGGAGACGCACTGCTTCTCGATCAAGTACCATGTGGACCTCCAGAACCTGTGGTTCAAGGCGCACTACAAGGAGGCGGAAAAGGTGCGCGGCCGTCCGCTCGGCGCCGTGGACAAATATCGATTGCGCAAAAAGTATCCGCTGCCAAAGACCATCTGGGATGGTGAGGAGACAGTCTATTGCTTCAAGGAGAAGTCACGCAACGCCCTCAAGGATTGCTATCTAACGAATCGCTATCCCACGCCCGACGAAAAGAAAACGCTGGCCAAGAAAACGGGCCTCACGCTCACCCAAGTCTCCAATTGGTTCAAGAATCGCCGGCAAAGGGATCGCACACCACAGCAAAGATCGTAAGTATATCGAGTATTCTTTTATATGCATATATATGTTTTCTATGTCGCCCAGAAACTAATTACAATATGTTTTCCACATAACTCGTAAAACAATTCATGTTTCTCTCGCACTCGCTCTCGAAAACCAATTCAATTGTTTTTCAAAAATTGGCATTTAAAAATTCGTTTAAGTGACCGTAAAACACTTGCCTCGGCATCGAAGTCCCAATTCGAGTTCCCTTACGGTTCGCCACGGTCCGATGCCATTTTTTTTTTCGGTTTTTTTTTTTTTACTTAAAGGGCACTTGAGCGTGTTTTATGTCCAATTTTGCAGCTCCTTTTACCCTATTTATAGACGGGCACTGGTCGCCAACGTTGCCCGTTGCCCATTGCCTGGTGCCCGTTACTCGAATGCGCATGCGTGTAGCATGTGCCTCAATTGTTGCCGCATGCCCCGCTGTGTTTGATCACTTACAGGCGTCAAATTCCATACACTCTCTAACACACGCACACACACACACACATGCACACATTTAAATATATATTTTTCTTCTCTTTACAGTGATATAATGCTGCCTGTGGGTCAATTGGATGCGAACGGTTTCCCGCGCATGTTCAAC